TTTACGGACCGCTTAGTGAACTACAAAAGAGTGAAGTTCATACTAGAGACAGCATTGCAGATATAGATAATCTATTTCATGCGAACGAAAGAAGAAGAATATTTGTTGGTGATGATGATGATTAGAGATGATGATGGTGATGATGATGTTAGTGATAATGATGTTGGTTATGATGATGTTGGTGATGATGATGATGGTGATATTTGGAGATGATGTTGGTGATAGTGATTAGGTGATGATGATGTTGGTGATATTTGGAGATGATGTTGGTGATGGTGATTAGGTGATGATGGTGATATTTGGAGATGATGTTGGTGATGGTGATTAGGTGATGATGATGTTGGTGATGATTGGTGATTATGATTTGTAGATAATGATATTTGTGGTGATGATTTTGTTGATGATTGGAGATGATGATGTTGGTGATGATTGGAGATGATGATGTTGGTGATGATTGGAGATGGTGATGTTGGTGATGATTAGAGATGGTGATGTTGGTGATGATTAGAGATGATGATGTTGGTGATGATTGGAGATGATGATGTTGGTAATGATTGGAGATGATGATGTTGGTGATGATTGGGGATGATGATGTTGGTGATGATTGGAGATGATCATGTTGGTGATGATTGGAGATGATGATGTTGGTGATGATGATGTTGGTGATGATTGGAGATGAAGATGTTGGTGATGATTGGAGATGATGATGTTGGTGATGATTGGAGATGATCATGTTGGTGATGATTGGAGATGATGATTTTGGTGATGATTGGAGATGGTGATGTTGGTGATGATTAGAGATGATGATGTTGGTGATGATTAGAGATGATGATGTTGGTGATGATTGGAGATGATGATGTTGGTAATGATTGGAGATGATGATGTTGGTGATGATTGGGGATGATGATGTTGGTGATGATTGGAGATGATCATGTTGGTGATGATTGGAGATGAAGATGTTGGTGATGATTGGAGATGAAGATGTTGGTGATGATTGGAGATGATGATGTTGGTGATGATTGGAGATGATGATGTTGGTGATGATTGGAGGTATTTATATAGATATATCCTAAAACGCACTAAAGGTATCAACTATACCTTGAGACCAAACACAACTTCCATCAGTACATCTATTGAAAGATAACAACTCTAAATGATGACCTCTCTAACGTATAACAAGGCTCTTGGCCTTCAAGCCGTGGAATACTCTTGACAAGTACAGTCAAAGTTCCTCTTAGAAGGACGCTGCACATTTGCGAACGAACTAAAATCGGTGACTTACATAACTGGTCCTCCTTATCGCACTTTCCGGGGTAGTTTAGCTTGGCTCCCATGTTGGGAAGCGAGGCCGATGCCAATCTATCACACTTTTGTAACATTGTTCAGAAACATCGCACGCTGGTCAAGTGACTAATGGTCAATGATTAACGCCTCACCATGCATGCAAAAGTTCCTAAGTCAGCCTGCTGGCGACTAATTGGGTTCCCTACCAGAGAGTGCTTACCTAACACCGTTCACATAGTCACGCGGTACAGCTAACATTCTGTCAACAGTATCACGGCAACACATCAGGAGGCATCTATCACAGTGCTTCAGTCCATTTTATTAATTAGAAAACATAAGGGGACGACGACCGGTAGCAAACATGCGAATAAAAACGTTCACTAAACATTCTAATTATCTATGGGAATAAACAATACACATGCCCACAAACCAAAGACTGGCGCATGCAATCCCCCCTCTGTACTCTTTTACAACTGACTAGCAAATAAATTTAGCACGCAACAATACACGAATTAGACAATACTGCACAAATACACTTACCTTCGTATCTTGAAGCAGCCAGGTCGACGTCAAGACAGTAGTCTGGTGAGGCACGTAGGGCCGGGAAAAAAATATCTTGGGATATACCAGGGGCCGAGTATAAGATGAAACTGTGTAGGCAGTTCAGCCCCGAAAGATTTAGATGAAGCTGTCTTGGCAGTTTGGTCCCCTGGGCACCAGAATACCCAACTTATAAATAAAGCGATTTTAAAGAGACTTGCGAACTCTGTCGCTAGAGTGGCTAGATTTAATGGCTGTCACCTCCATGTCGTAGACACCTTGGTGGTCATGGGAATTGAAATGTAATGGTACTGGTTTCAAGACGCCGCTCTGCACGTCCAAATGATGTTGTCTGAACCTGTCAGCCAGTCGTAAACCCGTTTCAGTGATGTATTTGAAACCACATCTCTTGTAATTGATGGCGTAAATTACATTACGGCTCGTGCAATAGAAGGCTTCACGTATGTGGAAGGTGGCATTCGGGAATTCCTGGCTGGTACCCTGAATCACAAATGAACATGTCCAGCGTACAGGTCTGTGGCAAGAGATCGTCCCGAAGTGGAACTCGGAGGTAGGACGTAACCAACTAGTTAATAGAATGTCCTTGAGGTTACGGTCATGCCTGTAGGCCACTAGAGGAAGTTCAGAGACAATCTTGCTGGTTGTAGAGTCAGCCCTAAGGGTGGAGAGATGCTTGTGGAAATTATTTTTAGCACGGATTTTGTGAGGGTGATAGGTAAGTATGAAAATGGGTCTGTTGTGGTAGCGTTTAGGCTTGGAAACGAGAGCCTCAGCACGGAGGACAGACAATGCTCGGAAAAAGGCAGCAGATAGGACATGTTCCTGGACGTGTTAACACTTGAGGTGTACTTGTACCTTGTCGATCGCATGCCGTTTTCACTTTTGACTGAATAGATCGCCGGATCAACTGTTAAATCCCTGGGTCTGGATTCTCTACCTGTGTGACGCTAGCTAGTCTTTTGTAATAGGCTGGAAACGACGAAGACTACTGTTTAGCAGCTAGACGATTTTGATTTAATCTGGTTTAAAAATGACCAAGAGGCCACAGAAACCGCTTTTAGTCTTAGACAGTAAAAAGCAGGAAAAAAACTGGCCACTGGGTATAAATAGACTGACTGACTCAGTATTTGCCTTCGTGGAGACCTACCCGGCAGTTGTAGCCTTGCACTTGGGGCTGGACAGCGTGGGTATGGCGACCGCAGGAGAAGGCCGTTGTCTGACAGATTTTAATGGCTGATCTCACAGTACGTTTTAACTGGTTAGGTGGTGGTAGATTTGATTTCCATTTTGTATTCTCGCTAGGGGGTAGTTTGATGGCAAGTCTCTATAAGTGATTTGTTAGCATATCGAAGCTTAACGTACATGTTAAATATGTTTCGGTTTTTGCCATTGTTGAGGTAATCTCGCTGTGCGTATGGTGTCATTACCATAGTTACATGTTAGCTGTAGATAGTCAGTACTTTAGATTCTGGTCGAGCATGTTGGTTGTTGTTAATGTTATTTGTGGACCACGCTGATGTTATGTCAAGTAAAATTAATAACTGTTTAATGTGATTATAACTCATTTGCTTGATTTAATTTAGGAGCTGTAGTCCGTGGTTCGTCTAGATGTATGTACCCATGTAGTAAGTCGTCGTCATGTAACTCACGATACAGTTATTCATTGTTTGGGTACTGGTGAATTATTCTAGGATCTCTGCGCAGAAGAACCCCTGTCTTTTCTTTACTTTCCTGTTTTTGTTGTTTAGCAGGGAACTATTACATTTTGTCATAATCACGATTTTCCTCATTATCTCTCCTTCTTCAATCCCCCCACCCCCCCCCCACCCCGCTTTCTTTCTTCCCTCTAGCCCATTATTATCACCCGCTGATTAGCATCATCACTGGACACCACTTTGTAGTTGAGCATTCAAATTCCAATATTTTTCACAATTTTGACTCTTAAATCTGCCATTTTAGAGTTCTTTTCCCGAGTCATCGTTGATGAAGTCCCCATACCTGTGTACTAGAAGGAAAGCCTAAAGGGGAATATTGTAAAAGAGGAAAGGGAGGACGATATTAAAATCTACCCCTTGAACCCATCTAGAGTCCAAACATAAGAGAGCTCCAATATCGTGGTGAGTGGAAGCAAATCCACACTTAAGCTGCCTGAGTAACAAGAAAATAAAGAAACAGAGTTCGTTAGGCCAGGGCTAAGACCGTATTGTCTGAACCCAGATAGAAAGGTATGAGGTCTAGTCAGTAGTCACAGTAAAACTCGACATAAACAACAGGTAACCCAATAAATAACATACAACACTGACAACTACCAGTGGACCAGCGACAAAACTAGATGTAAATAACTGGTAACCCAATGAATAACACAAAATACTGACAACTTCTAGCAGACCAGATAGTACCGATATCCCGCCTGTATCTATTTTGCGCTCCTCAACAGTGTACAGGTTGGTGGTAGATATGAAGATACGAAGGGCTTCTTGCCTCTGGGGCAGCTGCAGCAGAAAAGAGGAAGGCGCCCTGGGTACTGAGCTTTTTATCACATTCTACGACCCACGTTACTAGCTGGGCACTACAGAAGAGTTCCACCAAAAAACTTTACCAGATCAAAAAAATTATAACAGGCCACAAACTTCTCCGCAGGCCTGTTACACATCCCCCTACGGAATCTAGTGTCATAGCGACAACTAAGTAATAAATTTAGATCACTGCCTAACAAACCCCTTTAACTCCTGTCTTACATCGCACCAAGTTATGGATCATAGCCAACTAAAAACAATTTCATATCATAACATATACCATGAGCCATTTGCAAAATTATGAATAAGCAATCGAAAATAGTAAATGTCATTGACTTTCAAGCAAAACTTACCTCAACCCAAGAAAATGGCTAATGAACAGACACGTTCAGAAATATTACATCAATAATGTAAATGATCATAGAATCTTCGTGTATACATGAGAACACCATTAGTAAAATCATTACCACCTCTTTGCCTCCGTGCAATTAGAAGTATAGAGAATCCTCACCCCACTCCCGCTTGCTCTTCTGGTGGCGAATTCTTCCCGAATGCCGGACACCTAAATCTAGCTGGAAAACATACCACCGTGACCCCGACACACACTGTGAATCTGCATCGGTAGTGACCTCAGAATTCTCAGGCAACCAAAGTATCGTGTTGGGCGTTTGGCATTTCTTCAGCAGCATCTCCTTCACAGCGCTCTAACTCATGGCCAGCTACTCTAATCACCGGTGCTTCCCCACCAACTCTTTTTATTACATAACCCCACCCCCAGACACTGTCGGGGCCCTGGTTACTACATATTATTCTCTGGACCACATATCTTCAATCTTTGCCCTCTCATTATAGTACAGCCTCTTCCTAACAATTTTACTCACATGTAGTGGTATGCACACATCTCTTTCCTAACAGCTGCTGCCTGTTCAAGATGAGCATTTGCCTAGAGGCGAGCTTTAAATGTTCCTATAACCATCCATCTTCGCTATATATCCCATTATCATCAATCGCTAGGTTAAGCATGAAATCAATGGGCAAATTAGGTTCAATACCAAATAACAAGTAGTGTTGAGAGTACCCAGTGGATGCATGAGGTGTCGAATTATAAGTTAACAGAGCAGCTAAAGGATCGGACCATCTCCTTTTCTTATCGGCCCCTACGATCTTAGAAGATCTTGCAGGGTTCGGTTAAATCTTTCACACTGGCTATTCCTCGGGATTGTACTTTGTTGTGGAACTTTTCTTAATGCCATACACTTGACATAGCTGTAAAATAATAGCAGACTCTAAATTTATACCTTGATCAGAATGCAATCTTTATGGCACTCCAAAATACAAAAACCATCTTTCAACAAAAGCCTTAGCAACTGTCAACGCCTTCTTATCTCTGGTGGGAACAGCAAAAGTATAAATATTCTAATCCAGGCACGAGATCTTCTTTGTAAAATCTAAACAGCTAGGCAACAAATAAATAAACTACGCATACTAACCACAAGCCTTAATCTGAACCAAAATAACTGGCACTATAATTATCACATTCAACATCTGTTTATTTCACTGAACATAAGCTAAGTTCTTCACAAATAATAGTGCATTAAAATTCACAACGTGTTCGAAAATACCCTACAAAAGATGCAACCTATCTCTGCCTACCCACAACCCGCGTTGCGCTAAACGATTGAACGCAACGGGAAAATCAGAACTACATGTTACTCGTCCGAACAACAGAGGCCTAAGAGAGCGAACTGACCACTCCAGTTTGTTTTATCACGTCCTGGCCCCAAGTTTGCCAGGTTTTTGGCTCGCTTAAATAGGCCTAATTAAATTTATATAACAGTCGTCCGGCGCCTGTTACATTATCTCTGGCTGGAACAGCAAAAGTGAATTTACTAAAAACATCAGTGATTACTAGAACATTTTCAAAACCCTTGGTGTTTTCTCTAGGCAAAGTAAAATCAGTTGCAACAATCTCAAATGGTTTTGATGAAAACAAGTTTCCAACAGGACCTTGTAATTTTATGTGAGGTGGTTTAGCAATTCTACACCTAGCACATCGTTTAGAAAACGTCTCTACATCATCAGTAATACAAACCCAAAAACATCTGTCTTTGAGGATATGCAACATCCTATCTCTACAACGGTGACCAATACTGTGGACAGATTCTAAAACTCTATGCTTTGAACTATCTGGTACTACAAGCTGCAACACATCTGCACCACTATGTCCCTAGTTCTCATATACAACAAATCTTTAACAATATGCAATCTTCTGCTCTGCTGTAGCAGCTTTTTAACACCAGGCAATAACTTCGTAATCTCTCCCTTTGACACTCTCTACCTGTTAAGGATTATTTATATCAGTCTACTAATGCTAGTATCTTCTCCCTGCAACTTGGCTAAGTCACCCATGAAATAAAATAGTAGTGATAAGCAATAATTATGATTTATATTAAGATTTACATGAGGTCTTCCATCTGGAACAACTTCAATTACATTCAAATTAGTCCTCTGTATAAAAATCTCAAACCTAAGGAAGGAATCGTTGATGACGTAATATGGTTAATGAAAACATCACCTCCCTCATCTGAATCTTCTGGTTCACCAACTGGATGGCGTGACAAATAATCAGCATTTCCATTGGCTCGACCAGGTTTATGCTGAATTTTGTTATTGAAAACAGAAATTTGTGCTAAACATCTTTGCTTTATAGCACTCAAACTTGCTTTCTTCCATAATGACAAACCCATATTTTCAGTATAAACCTCAACCTAAGATGTGACTTCGAAATTTCTCTGTCATCACCCACCTCAAGCTCAAAGGTTCAAGTTTTAGGCTACTCTCAACATTACGCCCAGAGGGATGCAAGATTTGGCTAGCATATATTGGAACGTTTTTCTCACCTACCGGAATTTGTGATGACACTGTCCCTAAGCCCTGGTATGAAGCATCAACTTCCAAAGGGTGATCTCCGAAGAGTCGGCAAGCATTGTTAAGAATCCTGAGAAGGACTCCAAGGGTGCGTTCCCAACAGTATTCAAGGCAGTCGCTTTGATAATGGCTTTGATAACTAGTCATGACTGACTCAGCCGAAAATCTAGCGAATCGGTGTCAAGTATCTAGTTACCGAGAATCGGGCGACGAATAAAGCGTTAGCAGCGGGCGTCAAGAGCTGTTGTCGAGTCGGCTGACAGCGGACGAGTGTGTGGTGTGGTGGTGGTGTGTGTGGAGCAAAGCTCCCCTGGTACCAGGCTTTTTATCACGTTCTACGACCCACGTGACTTGCTGGGCACTACAGAAGAGTTCCATCAAGAAACTCTACCAGTGTTGGCAAAACAAGGGCTGCCAAATCCCCCCCCCCCCCAAAAAAAAAATATATATATATAACAGACCACAACTTTATCCGCAGGCTTGTTACACCTGCAAAGTTGTGTCTTCGGTGTGCTAGCTGTTGTCTAGTGTGTTATGATGTTTCTCACACGGATAACGAGTTTACACACACAGATGGTAATGAAGAGACAGTCTAACAGTTCATCACAATTATTCAGTCCAAAAGACAACCGTTCCAGTCACTGTAACTATAGTTTTCGATTTTTATGTTGTCTAGTGTGTTCTTCTATCTTTCTACTTCTTTCTACGAGTGCCGTTCACAATACTTTCTGTTACTTGATTAATTCATAATATATAACGGCCTCAAATGGTTCCCCTCTCTGCTATTCTCTAGCATGGTCAAAGATTCTGAGAAATGATGTTATCCCAGACATTGCAGATGTTCACATTCGTTACCTGGCAATCTTGATGTTACATACACCTCACACACACAGCGGCCGAGCGGGCATCACCGACAGCTATCAGTTAAGTTTCACAACAGGTTGGGTGTCGAATTGATTAAACTGTCATCTCGTAGATTCAAACTTTACTACACGTTTTAATTACACAATTTCACATTCACGCTCCCCTCGCAGACAGTTTTTCTCTGGCTGCGAAACACCAACTAAAAATACCTTTGTCTCGTCGTTCAAACGCTCGTTTTGGGTCCCTCGTGCTGTCATTCTAGAACTTGCTCAATTATCTCGTACTCGCGAGTATTCAAGTAATCCCCACTTACGCTATCTTTAGCTGTCTAACGTCATTAGGAAACTCATTCCCTTCATTACAAAATAGATCTGGTGTGAGGGGACACCTGCTCTTTGACAGGTGGGGTTAGGGCAGGACTGTGGTCTAGTAACTGACCACTGGAACAGCGGCGAGGAATGTTTTATTTATCAAAGTACACCGAAGGATAGGCGGTGCATTATTTATTACTCACCCCAAACAGAGGCAATCCAACATCAAGTGTTGAATGAACACAAAAGTTGTGGCGTGTTGGAGATCCATTGCAGCCAACCTTCATTGTGGGGACGGCGACTGATTGATTGATTAACCTTAATTGCCTGCCACCTAATCCCGAAACAAATTACTGTACCCAAATTACATGCATTTATCAGGTTCGGGATATTTGTCTAATAGACGGGTAGTTTTCAATATTTGTCGGGGTTAAAGTCCTCATACAAAATTAATAATAGGCCCAGAAAAGTTCATGGAAAGGGGGGGTGGGGGAGGTGTAAACGTGTAATTTAGGTCGCTTAACAGTAAGAAATCGGGAGGGGAAGCTCAAAAAGCCCTAAAAAATTTCGACCCCGACGAGATTCGAACTCGCAATCTTCTGATCCGAAGTCAGACGCCTTATCCATTAGGCCACGAGGCCATACACTTTAGTAGCATATTTTTATTTAAATAATATTTCTTCTCTCACTTGCTCTCTTTCTGCTAAAAAAAGAAGGATATTGTTACAATAAATATTTTAAAAATTATGTTGCTTAATTAACCAGAAGACTACCAGCAAGCAACTACAAACGTTGTTTGGTTTATTTGTATATGAGTGACCCAAAAAAAAAAAAAATACAAATGGTGTTTGGTTAGTTCAGTTAGGGCAGGAAGTTCTCGGACAACATGGCGGCCTCCCCTGAGAGAGGAGCCAATATGGCGGAGCTAGAACCGTCCTGTAACCCTCTGGATCCTTTACTGGCTACCGGTGTTAGTACTGTTAGTATATGCTACCTCCAGTAATGAAATATAATCCGCTGAATCCTTTACTTTTTACTTGCTACAGGATCTTAAGTATCATGTATATTCCTGTTGTTTATGGTTGTTAATATCTACATTCTAACTACATGTAGTTAGTAGTTACTAGTTAGTACATCTCTTATTAGTCTTGTCTTATCATTCTAATCTAATGACAATCACAATGTAACCAACCTGTTGAATCCCTTACTAGCTACTGGCCTCAATTTTGTGCCTGCTGTTGTGTTATGTTTGTATAATAATCCTACCTCTACCGTAACCGGCTGGATCCTTTACAGTTACTGGCTACAGTTTGTGTCCATTGTCATTGCAGTCATTGTCTTGTTAGATGTTTGTGCATAATTAATAATACCCGTGTACCGGGAATATAGTGAGTACCAGAAACCTGACCTATCTCTTGCAACCCGCTTGTTCATATACTGCCTACAGGGTTTCAAGTAAATGTCTGTTGGTTATCTTGGCTATCCTCCAAATAACAGCCACATATTATGGTGGCCAAAAACAGGAATCCAGTCACATGTAAATTGCAGACTTCCGGCGACTATACCGCTACCGCCGAGAGTGGGGCTGAACTAGATTGCTGGGACTCACGAGCAAAGCTGCAGGAGATGTGGAAGCTGTTGCTCGTGAGTCCAACCATCTAGTTTAGCGGCGCAGGAGATACTCTCAGCGGTGGCGGTATAGTCGCCGGTCTGCAATTTAAGTCGCAGGAAGTCCACAATTTACATGTGACTGAGGTCCTGTCAGGGTGTGTTTTTGGCCGCCATGATATGTGGCCATTATTTGGAAGATAGCCGTTATCTTGTTTGTTTTTCTACATTTTCTTGTTGCAAGCATTTGAATGTATCTTTTTTTTTTTTTTTTTTTTTTTTTTTTTTAACGTATCCAGAAACCATGAGTTGTAAACCCTTTGGCTCGGTACTATGGATATCGCAACCCTTCGGCATTGATTCCATTATAGGTACCGTTAATCTGGGAGAAATGTGGCTTTTCTGCCTACCCCCGGGAGTGAACCCGGACCACAAGGAGTTCGTCACCCGGCCGCCGCGAAAGTCAGGTTTAACCAACTTCGCTAGAGAGCCGGGCTAAAAATACCGCTGGTTTTTTTTTTTTTAGTATCTAGAAGCCAATGTATCTACCTGTGACCCTCTTCTGGCTACAGCTTACACACTAGGGGCTGCTCGTGTTGATGTATGTTGTTGGTTGGTGTACAGACCCTGCCTGTGTGCTGGCTACAGCTTACACACCAGGGGCTGCTCGTGTTGATGTCTGTTGTTAGTTGGTGTACAGACCCTGCCTGTGTGCTGGCTACAGCTTACACACCAGCGGCTGCTCGTGTTGATGTATGTTGTTAGTTGGTGTACAGACCCTGCCTGTGTGCTGGCTACAGCTTACACACCAGGGGCTGCTCGTGTTGATGTATGTTGTTAGTTGGTGTACAGACCCTGCCTGTGTGCTGGCTACAGCTTACACACCAGCGGCTGCTCGTGTTGATGTATGTTGTTGGTCTACAGACCCTGCCTGTGAGCTGGCTACAGCTTACATACCAACGGCTGCTTGTGTTGATATATGTTGTTGGTCTACAGACCCTGCCTGTGTGCTGGCTACAGCTTACACACCAGCGGCTGCTTGTGTTGATGTATGTTGCTAGTTGGTGTACAGACCCTGCCTGTGTGCTGGCTACAGCTTACACACCAGGGGCTACTCGTGTTGATGTATGTTGTTGGTGTACAGACCCTGCTTGTGTGCTGGCTACAGCTTAAAAGCAGGGGCTACTCGTGTTGATGTATGTTGTTGGTGTACAGACCCTGCCTGTGTGCGCACGATATCACGCATTGGCTGTTGTTACTGTGCTCATCTCGGACTTCACTGATACAGTATAAAATATGATTGATAGACCTAGACTAAGTCAACACTCAGAGGAAAGACAAGACACACTTGTAATCAGACTGGAGCTGTATTCAGCTGTATTGGAACTGTACATTAGCAGCCCTTGTGACTGAAGGTAGAGACAGGGTACCGATGTCAATTTTATGAGTGCTGTGATGTCACGGTTCCATATCTGATCTGTTTTGTAATGTTGTCAGTCACTGAGTGGCAGCCAGATCCCCTTTGCTTCTTTCTCTGGACCACATGGATTTATTCACTCAGTGCGTATTGTTGTGGTAAGATAAGGTCCTTGTTGATATCACATCTTTAGTCAACAGAGCTTAAATCATGTTTTGATGTTTATATCTTTTTGTTTTTGGAGACAAGTACTGCCACTAAACTTCACCATACTGCCACTAAACCTCACCATACTGCCACTAAACTTCACCATACTGCCCCTAAACTTCACCATAGTGCCCCTCAACTTCACCATACTGCCACTAAACTTTACCATACTGCCACTAAACTTCACCATACTGCCACTAAACTTCACCATACTGCCACTAAACTTCACCATACTGCTACTAAACTTCACCATACTGCCACTAAACTTCACCATACTGCCACTAAACTTCACCATACTGCCACTAAACTTCACCATACTGCCACTAAACTTCACCATACTGCCACTAAACTTCACCATACTGCCACTAAACTTCACCATACTGCCACTAAACTTCACCATACTGCCACTAAACTACACCATACTGCCACTAAACTTCACCATACTGCCACTAAACTTCACCATACTGCCACTAAACTTCACCATACTGCCACTAAACTTCACCATACTGCCACTAAACTTCACCATACTGCCACTAAACTTCACCATAGTGCCACTAAACTTCACCATACTGCCACTAAACTTTACCATACTGCCACTAAACTTCACCATACTGCCACTAAACTTCACCATACTGCCACTAAACTTTACCATACTGCCACTAAACTTCACCATAGTGCCACTAAACTTCACCATACTGCCACTAAACTTCACCATACTGCCACTAAACTTCACCATACTGCCACTAAACTTCACCATACTGCCACTAAACTTCACCATACTGCCACTAAACTTCACCAATGTCAAATCCTGCAAATGTTGATTGTGAAAGATGTTGGATATGAAGATTGTTGGATGGTGGGTACATTTCATTTACGTCTTCATGACAGAATGACAGTGGAGCAAACAAGAATGTGCCACCACCTCCTGCAGGTTTGATTCCACCAGAGGATTTCCACTCCTTTGATATTGTACGTGCCACTCAGTATGGGGTATTCCATCGGGTACGGGAGCTGATTGAGGCTGGTTACGATGTCAATCAGATGGACCATGAGAATGTCAGCCTCTTACACTGGGCAGCCATAAACAACCGGACAGAGATTGTCAAGTGAGATATTGTCTGTTGTATCATAACCTAGAATAGAGAGTTGATGGATGAAGATGTAAGTTGTGTTTTTACCTAGAATAGAGAGTTGATGGATTAAAATGAAGGTTGTATTTCTATCCAGAATAGATAGTTTATGAATGAAGATGTATGTTGTCTCTTTACCTAGAATAGGTAAAAAATATAGAATAATAGGAATAGAAAAAAATAGGATGTGTTTATTTATACAGACAACTCAGTGTCAAGTGGCAAAAGAAGTACTTGGGGTTTCTTAGCAAAAGGTAATGGTTGACGTTTGTTGCAGGAGAGCCTAGCATATGATACCATAATATCCAGTTTAAGAATGGAAGTGGAGGTGGTCACTGCAGCTTTCTGCTGGTTAGAGAACATGACACACACAGACACACATTGTGATTGTTACTGATTCAGAAAGCATGATAAGGCAGACGTGGTTGGGTCTTTGTTGAAGAGCATGTACAGTTCGGAGAAGCAGATGGATCACCACAGTCTGGTGAGACTGATGCAGCGGGGGGTCAATGCTCGAGAATCAGGGGAAAGGCAAGACGGACATTTAATCAGAATGCTACTGGCACCATTAAAATTTGAACTCAGCGCTGGCTGCTGAAGATGGGGATAGAGCGCTTATGGGAATTCCCCTAGTGCTGTGATGTAGTTTCTTGAATCAACTGAACTCAGCTCTTACCTAGAATATAGAGTTGACGAATGATGAATAGAGAATTAATGGATGAAGATGTGTGTTGTTTTGTTACATGTAACCTGGAATCATTGCTCTTTAAGGAGAGGAGCCTTTTTTCTGGCAGTTGGTGTAAATCAGTTGGAAACTTCAGAACATTACACCAGTACATGATACTTGACACCAGTATGTAATATGTCTAATATTTGACACCACTACATGATATGTGACAGACAGCAGTAGGTGACAGCAGTACATGATAGTGATACCAGTACATGATACATAAAACCAGTATGTGGTACTGGTACATGATACATGACACAAGTACATTATACACGACACCAGTACGTGATACCTGACAGATACCAGTATGTGACACCATTAAATCTGTAAATGATACATGACAGGTGACCCCAGTATGTATGATACAAATACAAGTACATGACATTAAATTGTGACACCAGAAAAGCCATGGTTGAATGATGACATATGTGTCTGTGTGTGCTTCCAGTGACATGCCATTGCTTTGTTGTGTATGCACTCACATTGAGATGTTTATGGTTCCCAGTTATTTCATATCCAAGGGAGCTGTTGTGGACAGGATTGGGGGTAACCTTTACTCCACACCCCTACACTGGGCCACCAGGTAGCTGCCATCTTTTGTTGTTGTTCCTGCTGTCATTGTTGATATAGCTGTTGCTACCTCTGTTGTCCCTGCCCTCATTGTTACTGCTGCACATATTGTTGTCCTTGCTGTCATTGTAACGGCTGGACCTCTTGTTGTCCCTGCTGTCATTGTAACTGCTGCATCTATTGTTGTTACTGCTGCACCTATTGTTGTCCCTGCCATCATTGTTACTGCTACACATATTGTTGTCCTTGCTGTCATTGTTACTGCTGCACCTATTGTTGTCCCTGCCATCATTGTTACTGCTGCACCTATTGTTGTCCGTGCTGTCATTACTGCTGCAACTATTGTTGCCCTTGTGGTCATTGTTACTGCTACACATATTGTTGTCCCTGCCATCATTGTTACTGCTGCACCTATTGTTGTCCTTGCCATCATTGGTACTGCTATACATATTGTTGTCCTTGCTGTCATTGTAACCGCTGGACCTCTTGTTGTCCTTGCTGTCATTGTAACCGCTGGACCTCTTGTTGTCCTTGTGGCCATTGTTCCTGCTGCACATATTGTTGTCCCTGCTGTCATTGTTACTGTTGCACATATTGTTGTCTCTGCTTTCATAGTTACTGCTGCACATATAGTTGTCTCTGCTGTCATTGTTACTGCTGCTTATATTGTTTTCTTTGCTGTCTTTATTACTGCTACATCTTTTGGTAATGATTTTATTGTTAATTTGTTGTTTCTAGTATTTTGTTGATGGTGTTATGTTATTTTTAATTGTGTTATGTTATCACAATCAATGTCTTGGCACATTGGGCATCCCAATGCATGTTGAGTCCTCCGATGCAGCAGCCACTCCAAGGTACCACTACTGATTGTCCCCATGAGGAGTTGGTTATAATTTCTACTGTCTTTACCTTACTGAGTCGGTCTGGTGACCTGTCTTTACCTCACTGAGTCGGTCTGGTGACCTGTCTTTACCTCTCTGAGTCAGTATGGTGACCTGTCTTTACCTCACTGAGTCAGTCTGGTGACCTGTCTTTACCTCACTGTGTCAGTCTGGTGACCTGTCTTTACCTCACTGAGTCAGTCTGGTGGCCTGTCTTTACCTCACTGAGTCAGTCTGGTGACCTGTTTACCTCACTGAGTCGGTCTGGTGACCTGTCTTTACCTCACTGAGTCGGTCTGGTGACCTGTCTTTACCTCACTGAGTCGGTCTGGTGACCTGTCTTTACCTCACTGAGTCGGTCTAATTCATGCTGTAGCATTGTTGAAATTTCCTGACTGTTGCTTCCTCATCGGTACACAAGGATATCATCTGCGAACGACATTGTTCTGCCCAGACTTACACTGTTGACTACTGATGTGTACACATTGAAGAGAAAAAGGGACAGTGGTAATTCCTAGGGCAAGCCTCTTAAGACATGTTGAGGTTTCAATGCATAAGCACTGCGTCTCATCGACACTGTTCATTCAAAGAGCGCTGCTGCGATCCAGTTGACCCTTTTGTCTCTGTGTGCATATCCATCATCAGTATGATGAGTATGTTGTATGGAACGCTGTTGTACGCGTCTTCTAAGTCAGTGGCAACCGTGGCAGTTTCTATTCCTGTCTGAAAACCCACATACATGTCATAAGCAAATGCTGCAGCATAGCACCATGTATCTCTGCCAGAGTGATATCCGCCTAGTGTAGGTGCCAGCTGAACAATTGACTATAATTTTTGGGTCATCATTCTCCCCATGATCTTTTTCGTAAGTTTTCCTACAGTATTCTGAAGTGTGATGATTCTGTTACCATTTACTTTTTCATGGCATTTCCCAGACTTGGGAATGTGTCTGAGGTAGTTATGTAGTCAGTCATCAGGGACAATGCAGCTTTTGATGCTCTTGTTAAATGCTCTGGATAGTTCTGTTGTGTCAGTTTCTTCGAGGCATTAGAAGTCGTTGTATCTCATGCCATCAAGCCGTGGGGCTGTGTCGGGATAGGTCTTCAATAGTGCTATGATGTTTGCAACAGAGGTGTACACTTTGTAATCTTCTCTATCCATTTCAGCAATGTGCATGTCGTGGACTGTTTTTATCTGCTTCCTCTCGTCTCTGTCTTTTCAGGCTGCAAGAGTGACTCACCTTTGTCTTTGTCAGATCTTAAAATCATCCCACTGTCTATCTTTAATTCAGGCATATTAGAGGATTGATTGCCGTCGTTCATACTCCGGTGGAGTCGCCATAATTTTTTAAAGAGATTTTTCGCATCCTTTTTCATTGCAAAATTCTCCCATTTGGTGTGCTTATCCTCCCTGGCAGTTTGTTTGAAGTGTTAAAAGTGAGGTCATCTTTTAGTTTTTTCATGGCTTGCTTGTGAGCATTAGACAGTCTCAAAGACTTTCTGCATTTCCCCTATTCTTTGGTGGCACTTTGTTTCTCTGTCCATACTTTGGCGACTTCAAGTGTCCATCCTGGGGGTTATTGGAAGACATCTTTCTTCTTGATGGTGTTTTGTTTTGTTTTGTGGTGGTGTTATTTCTGGTATTTTATTGTTGTCTGTGTATGGAGAAGAAGATAAATTGTTGTCAAAGAGACAGTGTATGGTTAATGAGACAGTGTACAGTGTATGAGACAGTGTACAGTGTATGTGAAAGTGAACGGTGTATGAGATGGTGTACAGTGTATGAGATGGTGTACGGTGTATGAGACAGTGTATGGTGTATGAGACAGTGTATGGTGTATGAGACAGTGTATGGTGTATGAGACAGTGTATGGTGTATGAGACAGTGTATGGTGTATGAGACAGTGTACAGTGTATGAGTCAGTGTACAGTGTATGAGACAGTGTATGGTGTATGAGACAGTGTATGGTGTATGAGACAGTGTATGGTGTATGAGACAGTGTACTGTGTATGAGACAGTGTACAGTGTATGAGAGAGTGTACAGTGTATGAGACTGTATGGTTTATGAGACAGTGTACGGTGTATGAGACAGTGTACAGTGTATGAGACAGTGTACAGTGTATGAGACAGTGTACAGTGTTTGAGACAGTGTACGGTGTATTAGACAGTTTACGGTGTATGCAACAGTGTACAGTGTATGAGACAGTGTACAGTGTATGAGACAGTGTACGGTGTATGAGACAGTGTACGGTGTATGAGACAGTGTATGAGACAGTGTACGGTGTATGAGACAGTGTACGGTGTATGAGACAGTGTATGTGACAGTGTACAGTGTATGTGACAGCGTACGGTGTATGAGATGGTGTACAGTGTATGAGACAGTGTTCGGTGTATAAGACAGTGTATGGTGTATGAGACAGTGTACTGTGTATGAGACAGTGTACGGTGTATGAGACAGTGCACGGTGTATGAGACTGTGTAGGAGGTGATACTATGCAGAGAAGGAGACTGTGGAGAAACTGTTATTGCTATTAGACCCTGATCTGTTTGACTGTCTATCTGACTGACTGACTGACTGTCTATCCGACTGACTGATGACTGTCTGTCTATCTGACTGACTGATTGTCTGTGGTTGTGTAGTTGATGAAACCTTCTCTTCCAGACAGGGACACCTGCCTATGGTTGTACAGTTGATGTCACTGGGAGCTGACCCATCCTTGAGAGATGGCGAGGGTGAGTGCAGCATGTCATGTCATAGAGACACCAGTGTCATTGTCACTAGAGACAGCAGTGTCATTGTCACTAGAGACAGCAGTGTCATCACTAGAAACACCACTGTCACTGTCACAAGAGACACCACTGTCAGTGTCACTAGAGACACCAGTGCCATTGTCACTAGAAACAGCAGTGTCATTGTCACTAGAGATACCAGTTTCATTGTCACTAGAGACACCACTGTCATTGTCACTAGAGACACCACTGTCATTGTCACTAGAGACAGTAGTGTCATTGTCACTAGAGACAGCAGTGTCATTGTCACTAGAAACACTGCTGTCAGTGTCACTAGAGACAGCAGTGTCATTGTCACTAGAAACAGCACTGTAAGTGTCACTAGAAACAGTAGTGTCATTGTCACTAGAGACAGCAGTGTCATTGTCACTAGAGACAGCAGTGTCATTGTCACTAGAAACACTGCTGTCAGTGTCACTAGAGACAGCAGTGTCATTGTCACTAGAGACAGCAGTGTCATTGTCACTAGAGACAGCATGTCATTGTCACTAGAGACACCACTGTCAGTGTCACTAGAAACAGCAGTGTCATTGTCACTAGAAACACCACTGTCAGTGCCACTAGAGACAGAAGTGTCATTGTCACTAGAAACACCACTGTCAGTGTTGCTAGAGACAGCAGTGTCATTGTCACTAGAGACAGCAGTGTAATTGTCACTAGAAACACCACTGTCAGTGTTGCTAGAGACAGCAGTGTCATTGTCACTAGAAACACCACTGTCAGTGTCACTAGAGACAGAAGTGTCATTGTCACTAGAAACACCACTGTCAGTGTCGCTAGAGACAGCAGCATCAAAAGTAGTTGAAGTTGCCAGGGAGAACACTTGTGTGTGAGTACCACCATTGTTCTGTGTAATGTTACCCCATGTGTGTGAGTACCACCATTGTTCTATGTAATGTTACCCCATGTGTGAGAGGACCACCATTTTCTATGTAATGTTACCCCATGTGTGAGAGGACCACCATTTTCTATGTAATGTTACCCCATGTGTGAGAGGACCACCATTTTCTATGTAATGTTACCCCATGTGTAAGAGGACCACCATTTTCTATGTAATGTTACCCCATGTGTGAGAGGACCAACAAGGTTCTGTGTAATGTTACCCCATGTGTGAGAGGACCAACATGGTTCTGTGTAATGTTGCCTCCAGTGTGTGGGTCAGATGTCACTATGTAAGCTAGGAAAGGAACATTTGGACCTGTATGATTTGTATTCTATTGCCAGCTGTGTATAGAGCACATTGGGAATTGTTTTTTAGAGACTAGGATTTATTCCAGTGTGTTCATGTTTAGTGATAATCTCTTCTGATTGTTGGTGTAATATTATAGTCAGTTTTCATTCTGTTTATCCTAGAGGCTGGATATGAACAGCCGTTTACATGAATTTATTCTCTTTGAGGTTTCCAGATTTACTAACTACTCTACAGTTCTCTGTAACCTGTAATTTTACATAGATCATAAGCTGTGATCTCATGTTGTAATGTTACATAGAACATAAGCTGTGATTTCATGTTGCAATGTTACATAAAGCATAAGCTGTGATCTCATGTTGTAATGTTACATAGAACATAAGCTGTGATCTCATTTTGTAATGTTACATAGAACATAAGCTGTGATCTCATGTTGTAATGTTACATAGAACATAAGCTGTGATCTCATGTTGTAATGTTACATAGAACATAAGCTGTGATCTCATTTTGTAATGTTACATAGAACATAAGCTGTGATTTCATGTTGTAGTGTTACATAGAACATAAGCTGTGATCTCATTTTTTTATTTTACATAGAACATAAGCTGTGATCTCATGTTGTAATGTTACATAGAACATAAGCTGTGATCTCATGTTGTAGTGTGACATAGAACATAAGCTGTGATTTCATGTTGTAATGTTACATAGAACATAAGCTGTAATTTCATGTTGTAATGTTACATAGAACATAAGCTGTGATCTCATTTTGTAATTTTACATAGAACATAAGCGGTGATCTCATGTTGTAATGTTACATAGAACATAAGCTGTGATCTCATGTTGTAATGTTACATAGAACATAAGCTGTGATCTCATTTTGTAATGTTACATAGAACATAAGCTGTGATTTCATGTTGTAGTGTTACATAGAACATAAGCTGTGATCTCATTTTTTTAATTTTACATAGAACATAAGCTGTGATCTCATGTTGTAATGTTACATAGAACATAAGCTGTGATCTCATGTTGTAGTGTGACATAGAACATAAGCTGTGATCTCATTTTGTAATTTTACATAGAACATAAGCTGTGATCTCATGTTGTAATGTTACATAGAACATAAGCTGTGATCTCATGTTGTAATGTTACATAGAACATCAGCTGTAAACTCATGTTGTAATGTTACATAGAACATAAGCTGTGATTTCATGTTGTAGGGTTACATAGAACACAAGCTGTGGTCTCATTTTGTAATGTTACATAGAACATAAGCTGTGATTTCATGTTGTAATGTTACATAGAACATAAGCTGTGATTTCATGTTGTAGTTTTACATAAGAGATAAGCTGTGATCTCATGTTGTAATGTTACATTAAAAAAAGATGTGATCTCATGTTGTAATGTTACATAAGAGATAAGCTGTGATCTCATGTTGTAATGTCACATAAGAGATAAGCAGTGATCTCATGTTGTAATGTTACATCAGAATTAAGCTGTGATCTCATGTTGTAATGTTACATAAGAGATAAGCTGTGATCTCAATAAGAGATAAGCTGTGATTTCATGTTGTAATGTTACATAAGAGATAAGCTGTGATCTCATGTTGTAATGTTACATAAGAGATAAGCTGTGATCTCATGTTGTAATGTTACATTAAAAAAAAGATGTGATCACATGTTGAAATGTTACATTAAGAAAAGATGTGATCTCATGTTGTAATTTTACGTAAGAGATACGCTGTGATCTCATGTTGTAATGTTACATAAGAGATAAGCTGTGATTTCATGTTGTAGTTTTACATAAGAGATAAGCTGTGATCTCATGTTGTAATGTTACATTAAAAAAAGATGTGATCCCATGTTGTAATGTTATATAAGAGATAAGCTGTGATCTCATGTTGTAATGTTACATAAGAGATAAGCTGTGATCTCAATAAGAGATAAGCTGTGATCTCATGTTGTTATGTTACATAAGAGATAAGCTGTGATCTCATGTTGTAATGTTACATAAGAGATGAGCAGTGATCTCATGGTGTAATGTTACATAAGAGATGAGCAGTGATCTCATGGTGTAATGTTACATAAGAGATAAGCTGTGATTTCGTGTTGTAATGTTACATTAAAAAAAAGATGTGATCTCATGTTGTAATGTTACATAAGAGATAAGCTGTGATCTCATGTTGTAATGTTACATAAGAGATAAGCTGTGATCTCATGTTGTAATGTTACATAAGAGATAAGCTGTGATCTCATGTTGTAATGTTACATAAAAAAAAAGATGTGATCTCATGTTGTAATGTTACATTAAAAAAAGATGTGATCTCATGTTGTAATGTTACATAGAACACAAGCTGTGATCTCATGTTGTAATGTTAAATAGAACATAAGTTGTTATATTATGGTATCATGTTACATAGAATATACACTGTGATGTCATGCTGTAATGTTACAGAGAACATACCCATTTAGTTACTTCAAATATCATATCCTACAGGCTGCAGTTGTATCCACCTGGCAGCCCAGTTTGGTCACACAGCCATCGTAGCATACTTGATAGCCAAAGGTCAGGATGTGGACATGCAAGACCAGGCTGGACTCACTCCCCTCATGTGGGCTGCTCATCGAGTCTTTGGGTAAGCCAGGCTTTGCAGCTTTCTGTATTCAAGATTGCTTGTGGATGTACCAGAGTTGTTATATGATTTCATCACAGATGTAACTGCACACATTGACATCACAGATGTAACTGCACACATTGACATCACAGGTGTAACTGCACACGTTGGCATCATAGATGTAACTTCACACATTGACATTACATATGTAACTTCATACATTGACATCACAGATGGAACTCTAAACATTAACATCACAGTTGCAACTACACATTGGCATGATGGATTCTCTGTTCCTGTGGCTACGTTCATCTATGACTCAAGCTGATTATTGATTCTCTGATTTTGTGGCTACTTTCAGCTATGATGATTGATTTTCTAATTTTGTGGCTACTTTCAGCTATGACCCGAGCCGACTGTTGCTGACATTTGGAGCTAGTGTCAACAAGAAGGACAAGCTCAATGGGAACACTGCTCTACACTGGGCCTGTATTAGTGGCAACCACGTGGTCATCAAACAGTTGCTGAATGCAGGAGCAGACATTCATGCACTCAACAAAAAGGTTTGACATCTCTGCAAGCTTCTCGCTATAACACTACTCATTAGCTGGTTAGGTATCCAGTTGTCTTGTCTGTTGTATGTTTTATGTGACCACAGTTATATGTGACTAGTATTTTTTGTGTGTGTGTGTGTGATTGGAGTTTTATGGGACCAGTTTTATCTGCTGTAAGTTGTGACCAGGTTTGCGTGTGACTAGAGTTTTGTCCAGGGTATGTCATATGATACATTTGTCTGTGACTAGAGTTGTGTCTACTGTATATTAAATGTTACAGTTGAGGGTCTCCGTGGTGAAGTGCTCTTCTTCTTCAGCGATCTCTGGTCATGCGCATAATCCACTGTGGGTCATAAACTGGGATGTCTTTTCAAGGTCTCTTAGGTCTCCCCAAAGCTTAGTTGTCAGTTCTACTGGGTGTTGCCATATGTTGCTCCGCAGCTCCGCCAGGAGAGGACAGTCTTGCAGGACATGTTCTGGAGTCTGTTCAGCACAAAGGCACTGGCAGAGAGCTGTTTGGCTCATACCTAATTTATGTGAGTGTTTATTGAGTCTGCAGTGTCCAGTACGTAGGCCAAAAACTGTGACTTGGTCTGGTCTGTTCAAGTGTTTTAGAAAATCTTTTTCGTAGTTATAACCAGTGTTGGTTTTCAAATCTGTTTCTGATTTTCTCTTAATGAGAGTTTTGACTTCTGGAAAAGATAGTGGCTGGTAGGTCTGTGGTTTGTTACTGCCTTCCTTGGCTAAAGCATCAGCGCTTTCATTGCCTTTGATGCCGCAGTGAGACGGAATCCACTGCAAGTGAATTTCTGCCTTTTTTTTTTTTTCAACATAGCAAGTTCCTTTGTTAGGCGTAGTGGTCAAGCCGATTGCCTGGCGCTCCGAACGTTGTCGGTTGTTTCATGGGTGCCCCATTCAGTTCACAAGTGCAGTTTTTTTTACGGAGATCCCTGAGAAGCTACAGAGTTTGTGCCTGTGCGGCGCTCTCGCCAGGCAGCTAGCCATTCTGTGGAGAGAGACCAAGCCATATGGGATAAAAACTTGGTGCAATGAGGTTGATCCTCTTGACTTCAACCTTTTTTTTTAAAACTTTATATGTTACAGTTGTCTATGACCAGAGTTATATGTTACAGTTGTCTATGACCAGAGTTATATGTTACAGTTGTCTATGACCAGAGTTATATGTTACAGTTGTCTATGACCAGTTATATGAGGCCAGGGTTGTCTATGACCAGAGTTATATGAGTCCAGGGTTGTCTATGACCAGAGTTATATGTTACAGTTGTCTATGACCAGAGTAATAGGTTACAGTTGTCTATGACCAGAGTTATAGGTTACAGTTGTCTATGACCAGAGTTATATGTTACAGTTGTCTATGACCAGAGTTATATGTTACAGTTGTCTATGACCAGAGTTATATGTTACAGTTGTCTATGACCAGAGTTATAGGTTACAGTTGTCTATGACCAGAGTTATAGGTTACAGTTGTCTATGACCAGAGTTATAGGTTACAGTTGTCTATGACCAGAGTTATAGGTTACAGTTGTCTATGACCAGAGTTATAGGTTACAGTTGTCTATGACCAGAGTTATATGTTACAGTTGTCTATGACCAGAGTTATATGTTACAGTTGTCTATGACCAGAGTTATATGTTACAGTTGTCTATGACCAGAGTTATATGTTACAGTTGTCTATGACCAGAGTTATATGTTACAGTTGTCTATGACCAGAGTTATATGTTACAGTTGTCTGTGACCAGAGTTATAGGTTACAGTTGTCTATGACCAGAGTTATATGAGGCTAGGGTTGTCTATGACCAGAGTTATATGTTACAGTTGTCTATGACCAGAGTTATATATATGTTACAGTTGTCTATGACCAGAGTTATATGTTACAGTTGTCTATGACCAGA